ATGCCCACCCTTCCCGGCCACGCACCCCCCCCCCCCATGGAGAATGGCAGACCTGCAGGCTGCATACAAGTGATCTCGGCGGGATCGCTTGTACATAACATGCGGAGGCTTCTCTGCTGTACATTTAGCTTTGCTTGCCCAAAGAAGGGCTAAATGTCAAAAACAACTAGCCGCCCGGCGCTCGGAACTGCATGTGTTCGGCATCAGGAGATAGGAAGTCCACATCCCTGCTGACCCTCTACTCCCTGCTGCCCCACGGCTGGGCCTTGGTTGGTCTTGTGGGAAATCCGGCCCTGCCACTATGATTAAGCCCAGGTGGTGAAACGTGAGATAGAGATACTATGGTGGTGTATACCTTGTATTTTGAACTTTGCATTGAATTTACAATAATAAAGTTGGATTTTTACGGACCTCGGTTTCATGCAACTGATTGGAGAGATATTGCATGCATTGTGATGCGATGCAATTTAAAAAAAAAAAAGGCACATGCTCTTCATTAAGTGTGATTTAGCTGTGGTAGGTAGCCTATTCATATAAATGGACTGCCCTACCACAATGCACCGCAATGCATCTTGCAGCTGACCTGTGAATGGGGGCTTAGCTCTTTCAAGTTTTTATTGCTGTTCCCCATTGGCGAGATTCTCCCTTTTTTTTTGTATTGGTGACCATTGTCATCTTGAAGGAAAGTGAGGGGAAATTGAAGGTTTTATAATTGTCCCCAGAACAAAAGGTTAGGGGAAATCCTTCAATGGGGACATCTGTTTTGGGGACAACAGTCTAAGAGGGGAATACTATATAACTATATAATACTATCAAAAACAATTTTGGTTATTTAAAATTGCTTTCCTCTTACTCAGTTCTCTGTTTCTCCCATAACAGTCATATCATCCTGATGCTTGCTGACGACATGGCTTGTAACCCGAGGAACCCCAAGCCAGCCACCGTGTTTAGCCACAAAAATATGGAACTCAATGTTTATGGCGATAACGTGGAAGTTGACTACAGAGGTTATGAGGTATACGGTGGGAAGTTGGGGGGTGTGGGGGTTGGACTCGTATTGGGATCCTTTGACAGGATCTGTGAATGGAGAAACTGCTAGCCCCATCACCTACTGTGAAAAGAAGTGCAGTGATGTCCATTGACACTTCCTCCCGTCCATTTTACTGCATGTCTGTACCTCGGTATGGCCGACAGGAACAGTCAAGAGGAGCCAGAGCACTGCCCCCGTAATCTAATGATTGGGATTGCAATGCTTTACTGGCTCCTATACAAAAAATAACTCATTTTCTTTTTTATGAAGCGCAAATGTATTATTTTTCTACAAAATGTGGAATTAATCTTTTAAGGCTTGTTCACACCTACACCTTAGGTGCAATTAGGTATTCCTGCATCAGGAACTTGCGATTTCCTGCAGCAGGAATCCCAAATATATCGCTTGCAAGCAGCATGTGTCACCCGTTCAAGTTAATGATCGTGTGACGACCACCACATTTGAAAGCGCCAGAATGCTGGCACTCCGCATGTGATCGTATGTGATATGATTACATGTGTTTAGGACTAATTCACTATCCTTGGACAGATCGTGCGTTCAGGGATAGTGATCTATTTCTAACTCCAAGTAATCGTATTACATGCGGAGTGCCAGTGTTCTGCCGCTTTCAAATGCGGCCGCTGTCACCCGATCATTCACTTGAATGCATGACTGCTGGTGCTTGTAAAAGGCGTATTCTGCAGGATATAGCAAGCTCTTGATGCACGAATACCAAATCGCACCTAAAGTGTAGGCGAGAATGAAGCCTAAATGTGTCCGTTTTTTTATATCCGGATGTTTTGAGATCTGAATGATAAGCACCATAGGATGCCCGATTGTATTAATGTTCTAAACCCC